AAAATGGAAAAAGATAAGAAAGAATTAATTTGATAAAAATATGTAAAAATAGTATAGAATTTGTAGTTATTTAATAGAGGGAAATTAAGTGAAAAACAAAAAAAATAATATTTTAAAAATATTTTATATGATTAGATTTTTATGTAAGAATATATTATTTAAATAATTATATTTTCATCATTTATTAACTAACTATTTATATTATAGTGAAAGATTAGTCTTATTTATGCATTTTTTTATAATAAAAAATTCATACAAATTTATCTTGAAAAGATTAAAATTAAATTTACATGAATTCTACCATAATTTTCTTATAAATCCAATTTATTAATCTCTTTTAAATACATTTTTTAAAATTTTTTTTTTTATAATTTCTCTCATTCTTCTTTGTTACTTACTAAATCACCTCCTCTCAAAACAAAGAGACAAGGATCAAGACAACAATGCACATGAGTGTCCAAAATCATGATGCAGCTGGTTGTTTTTCCTTTCTTCTCCATCCTTCTCCCTTTCTCGGAACCCTTCCTTTATTCAAGCTCCTCCATTTCTCCTCTCTTCTCCGTGACCTTCTCTCATTCCAAAACCCTTATTCCTTCCTTCTCACTACATTTGTTTTAATGATAGAAATGTAATTTTTTTAAGTATTATATCATTTTTTTATTGACAGTTATTTAATGATTCAGCAAAAAAATATATTTTTTAAGGATGTCAAGCAGATGTATTTATAGTTAGCGGATGTTGAAATAACATTTTCGAACAATTGAAGTTTAGGAATGGAAAGAATAAGGAGTAGAAAAAGTAAAAGTGGTTTCGACGCACAACATTCGTCGAACATATTTATTTGTAAACAACATGGAAAAAAGCATTTTGTTACGTGACACATAAATAAAGTAGAAAAATAAATTGTAGAATTAAGTAATTCACATGTTTCAAATGATTTTTAATCATAAAATATTTTTTAAAATTTAAATAGTCGAGATCTTTTTAATGAAATTTACCAATTTGTTTTCTTTATTTGATAAAAATATCTATTTTTCTGAAAATGAAGTATGATTTTTGAAAGTTTAAGCTTGCAGTTTTTGCAAAGTTACTACAACGATAGTTTTTACGCTGTGATGAATAATTAATTTATTTGTTATAGTGGCAAGTTTGTTTGGTTTTTATTTATTTATCAGCCAATAGTGGCAAGTTTGTAACCAAAAAAACTAATATATATCAACAGTTCAAACAAAGAAGAAAAAGAAAAGTGAGAAATAAAAAATATATATATAAAGAAAATAAAAAAAAATGACGACAACTTCCATGAAATCTAATATATCATGACCATTTACACTCACTATCAGTGGAGGTGTTCCTTTTTGTCCTCTCTGATTCGTCTTTCTCTCCTCCCTTCGTTTTCTCTTTCTTTTCTTACTTTCTTGCTTTATCTCTCTCACTCACACACCCACCATCATTCTTCTGCTTTCTTCCTCCTCCGTTGCTCCGTCCAGTTGCCACATTTTCTACGACCGTGACATCAAGTGAGAAGTAGACTCTTCTTAGGATTTCTGTAGATGAGGTTTTGCATTGTGATTTTTTTTTTTCAATTCTTAATTCTGTATTTGTAAAAAATAATTTTTTTAATTTATATTATAAAAATATTACAATATTGACACTTTTTTATAAGAATATGAAGTGAAAGTTTTTTTTTATTGGTAATTGTGAATATTAATATTTTTATAAATTCAATTTTTAATATTTTAAATAATTATCAAATTTTATATTAATAAAATAATATTATTATAAAATGATTTTTCTACTACATCGGTGAGGTAGTTGTCAGATGCTTACCCTTTAAGAGATACTTTGTACACGGGACCTCTAAATTCATAATGAGTGGCGAGAGTTCTGGTACGGAAAAGCAACCCCAGCCACCAGGACCACCGGATGGAGCGACGACACGTGACCCACAATTGTCTTTTCGGGATAAATTAATGGGTGATAAGGTTGCTGCCCCACGACCTGCGCGAGTCGATTTGATTCAAGAAAATCTCTTTTAAGATAGAATTAGAGGAGGGCAATAGATTGAAACCCAAGTGCTTCATAGATGAGAGGGTTTTATTGATGCTCAGGAAACCTTGGTCGGAAGCAGTAACTATTAAGCTGCTAGGAAAGACGGTAGGTGTCGGGATTTATCTCAAGTCTTACATCTGTAAAATAAAAGAATATTGACTAGTTTATAAGGGTGTCTACCATTCCATATAGTGTGAGGCCTTTTGGAAAGGAGCTCAAAAACAAAATCGTGCGGGCCTAACCCAAAGTAAACAATATCATATAGTGAAGCAACATGTAGACTATTGGACCCTACAGTAAGGTATTTCACCATGAAAGAAAGGCTTCGAATGACCTGGAAGTTGGTGGGCGGATATGATGTTATGGATATTGGTCATGGTTTCTTCATGGTTAAATTTGATCTTCCTAATGATAGGGAGAAAGTCATCACTGAGGGCCATGGATGATGTTTGACCATTATTTGGGAGTTCGAGAATGGGTTCTAGATTTTGTTGCAACTAATGTTAAGATTGACATTAGATTCGATTCCCTAGCTTGGGCATAGAGTACTATGACGAGAGTGTTTTGCTAGCCTTGGATACGGTTGTTGGTCTTCCTATAAAGGTGGACATTATGACACTAAAAGCATAACGGGGAAGTTTGCTAGGGTGTGTGTTGAAATCGATCTCGATAACCCTGTGGTTGGTAGAGTATGGTTTCGGGATTTTTGGTTTAAAGTGGAGTACCAAGGTCTTCATATCCTTTGTGCAACTTGTGGACGTTATGGACATGTGGCCCGTAGCTACAAGGAAAGAGTACCAACAAGGACACTAGTGCAAAAATAGGCTTTTACGTCACCTAATTTACGTCAGAAACACGAAAATTCGACGTTATAAAAACGCGGTGGCAGTATCGTAAATATAAAGAGACTAATTTACGTCGGACAGATGGGGTCCGACGTAAATTAGCCAATCTACGTCGGCTAATAGGTGTCTCCGACGTAGATTGGCTAATTTACGTCGGACCCCCCTTGTCCGACGTAAATTAACGTAAATTAGCCTCTATATTTCCATGAAAGCTTCATTTGTAGGACATTCTTTGTATCTGATGGGGGAATCCGCTCCCAGCTCGCGAGGCGTCCCTCTTTGCACATTCCACACCAACATTGCAGATCTGCACACTCCACCTTTTGCTTGCGGCACAGCTTTGGCTTCTACGACGACGACGGTACGTTTCCTTTTACCATGTTGCAAGTTCCCTTATTTTTCTTTTCCTTTTCCTTGTCTAACATGTACACTAATTCCTTGGATTGCTTTCAGCAAGGATCTTTCTCTCTGAAAGATGGTCTTCCAGGCTCTTTCCTCATGAAAAAGCGAAAGAACAACAGTCTCATTTCGTGCTTAGGAGGGCATAGCCCCTAGGGCAATCACTCTTGAAGAAGGTGCTCCGGGGAAGGGGGTGCATTGACCTTGGCGTGGAGCTAGCTCTGCACGTTTCTACTTTCTGCTGCATCTAGAATGGGCCGTGTTGCTTGCAGAACGGGCCGTTCTGCAAGTAGAACGAGCTGTTCTGCAAGCAGCACGGCCCGTTCTGCAAGCAGAACGGGCTGTTCTACAAGCAGCACGAGCCGCCGTTCTGCTTGCACTCATTATTTTTTTTATTAATTTTTTTACTACTTTTTACGTTGGACCTAGTAATTTCGACGTAAATTTATGTCGATTTTTGAATGCCGACGTAAATTTACGTCTCTTACATTAACGTCGGAGCCTTTTTCAACGTAAAAGGCTCAAAATATGCGACGTAAAAGACCCCTTTTGTACTAGTGGGAGTGAGGACAAAAGGCAGCAACGGCAAGAGGTTGAAGGGGGTGTGCAGTCATCTATGGCAGCGGCAGTTCCCAACCCTGCTATGGCCGTTAACGGCGAGGTAGAGGCAATACATGGGGAGTGGTTAGTGGTTTCAAAATCACGGAAAGGGAGTAAATCACGGGGTGTAACGGAAGGCGGAAACAAAAATGATTTGGCACGAGTTAAGTCTCAAATAAATCCCTTTCGGATTTTACGAGATGAATCTTTATTTGATGGTGATATGCAAAAGAAACAATACATGCAACAGAATGAGGCTGATTTGATGGGATTGCAGAATAATTTGTTGCTTAGAAAGTGGAAGTGGATCGAGCTCTAAAGATATGGGTCAAAAATAGGAGTAAACGATTAAGACAAGAAAAGGAGTGCATGGGGATTCCATGAAGTTTCGAACAGGTATGGTGGGAGGAAACCATCACACATCGTTTGATGAGGGGCACACAACAAGTGTAACTATGGGGTCTAGTGCACGCGAGGGGCAATTCGACCATAATAAGTCTGGGCACGTGGGTCCCGTTGAGGCGAGACATTCATGTGCGAATTTGCATGACCACATGGGTGGTGATAGGTTGCAGACTAGTTCTCATGATGTGGTAAGGGATGCATGTGTGGCTACGTTCCATGTGCCACGTCCACCTGACTCTTTGTTGGGTACGAGTTTGGTGGGAAAAAGTGTTGTTGAGGTGGAAACACTTGATGGGAGTATTTCAGAGGGTGATATCGATTTAGAGGAGGAAGCGCTAGTCATACCTTAATTGCGCGGGGAGTTGACGCGTCATCCCTCTATATTTTGGTTGGATTATGATGTCTCAAATGAATGTTAATATATTAGCCTGGAATGTTAGAGGGGCAACAGGAAGGATGAATAAAATTCATCTTAAAGAAACATTGTGTAAGGTTAAGTCGGATATGGTGTTTTTATTTAAAGTCCATACTTTATTTGCAAAGATGGAATCATTTTGGGAACGATTGGGCTACTATCCTATAGATATCTAAGAAGCTCGTGATCATGTTGGCGGTGTGTGGGCTTTGGTAAAGGTTACTTCGACCTTACAATGTCAGGTAGTTGGCTCTCACCTACAAGCTATTTCAGTGTAGTTTACTATGTCTGGGAAGGTGTGGTGTTGCACGGGGGTGTATTCCAATCCTGTCCCAACTGAACGTGATCGGTTATGGCAATATTTAAAGGAGCTTCGGCAGGTGATCGTCCTTCCTTGGTTCCTCATAGGCGACTTCAATGATATACTATCTCCTACTGAACAGAGGGGTGGTATATTTCAACTGTCTAGGGCTACTGTGTTTGCACAACATCTAGATGATTGTTGTTTGGTGAATTGGAAGTTACTTGGGAAAAAATTTACTTGGCATAGGAAACAAAATGGCATGATTCAAATCCATAAACAACTAGATCGGGGATTGAGTGATATGCAGTGGATTTTGGATTTTCCAAATGTTGTGATTGAAGTACTTCCGAGAGGGCATTCTGATCATAATCCCCTCCTTCTTAGATGTGGGGGATTCCTTCCACCAGTTAAGAACCGTCCATTCCGTTTTGAAGCAGCCTGGTGTACACATAGGGAATATAAAATGGTGGTGGCTAATGCATGGCACCATCATTCAGATAATATTTTTTAAGCCCTTGATAAGGTTCGCGAAGATTCCTTAGTCTTGAACTACGAAGTGTTCGGCAATATTTTTTTTCGGAAAAGGAGTTTAGGAGCTCGTTTACAAGGGTTGGTACGATATCTTGAGAGAATTGATTTTATTAGACATACACAACTTTACAACCGTTTGTTTGAGGAATATGAAGACACACTTCGGCAAGAGGAAATACTTTGGTATCAAAAGTCCAGAGAAAGATGGATTGAATTTGGGAATCGAAACAATGCGTTTTTTCATGCAAAAACCGTAATTCACCGAAAACATAACAGAATTATTGAACTTAATCTTCCTAGGGGTTGGTGTACTGATACAGAGGTTTTAAAGCATGAAGTTGTGGTGTTTTTTAGCAGCTTGTTGGGTCATTTAGAAGCAACTCATGTGGAAATGTCACCTTGCCCCATCTCTTTATCAAGGGAGGAATGCACATCACTAGAAGTGCCTGTATTAAAGGAGGAGGTTTTTCGAGCATTGCAGAGTATGAAATCTTATAAAGCCTCAGGCCCTGATGGCTTTCAACCAATATTTTTTAAAAATTATTGGAATAAGGTGGGGGAGGATGTTTGGAGGTTTGTAGCTATGGCATTTAAGAAGGAAGGATTGGCCCTAAGGCCACTGAAGCTTTACTAGTCCTTATTCCTAAGATTGATCACCCAAAGACCTTTAAAGACTTTCGCCTGATTAGCTTGTGTAATGTTGTGTATAAATTAGTTTCTAAAGTCTTGGTGAATCGTTTATGGCCTATTCTAATGAGGCTGGTGAGCCCACTTCAAAGTAATTTTATACCAGGTAGAGGTACTATGGACAATGCCATTATTTTACTGGAGATTATCCATAGTATGTCTAAATCTAGACGGAAAAAAGGAGATGTGGTGTTTAAACTTGACTTAGAGAAGGCTTATGACCGAGTTGACTGGCGTTTTGTAGAGGAGGTGTTGGTAACCTTTGGATTTCCGATGACCGTGATCCGGATGATTATGTCAAGCATAAAGACTTCGGTTATTTCTCTTCTTTGGAATGGGGAGCGTATGGAGGGTTTTCTACCACAACGGGGGTTACGCCAAGGTGACCCTTTATCTCCATACTTATTTGTGTTATGCATGGAGAGGCTAGGGCATATGATCCAGGCAGAAGTATCAGCAGGGAATTGGGGGGCCTTATTTTGTCGGACCTCCCATCTCTCATTTATTCTTTGCCGATGATGTGCTTATTTTTGCTAAAGCTAAACCTGCACAAATTCGGAGGGTTGCTACTGTTCTAGAGAAATTTTGTACTACCTTAGGTCTTAAAGTTAATATTCAGAAGTCTAAAACTTTAGCATCTCGCGGGGTGCCTACTCGTCGTAAGAATAAAATCACTTCCATTACTGATATCAACTTTACAAATGTGTTGGGGGAAGTACTTGGGTTTCCAAATGGTACAAGGTCGAGTTTCTAATCGCACCTTTGCAGAAGTTGTCAAAGGTGCAATAATGTCTTGCTGCGTGGAATGGTCGTCTGTTGGCTCGTCCAGGACGCGTTACATTAGTGAATTTTGTGTTATCCTCTATTCCTGCATATACAATGCAAACACAGTGGCTACCATCAGGTACATGTGAGAAGTTGGATGCTATCAGCTGGAAATTTATTTGGAGTGGGTTTGACTCTCATATGATGCACTTGGTTAATTAGGACAAAATTACGCAACGAAGGAAAGATGGAGGGTTGGGAGTATGTGTGGCTCGTTTTAAGAATACCTCATTATTAGGAAAGTTGATTTGGGACCTCCTTGCCCATCCTACCACTAGTGCAAAAATTAGTTTTAAAATCGGGGTTTTAAGATCGGTTAAAAGATGACCGATTTTAAAAGTCACGCGGTGACAATTTTGTAAATAATGTGAATACTTTTAAGATCAGTTAAATTTTAACCAATCTTAAAAGTACTTTTAAAATCAGTTATTTTATGACCGATTTTAAAAGTATTATCAGAAACCTTTTATATTTTTCTCCATTCTCATTCTCTTTGTTCTTTCCCTCCATTCCTTTTTTTACTCTCTCGCGCTCTCATTTTCTAAAGTCTCCCATAAGGTAAATTTCGTTGCCATTTTCGTTTTCGTCTTCTCATGCTCTTCTCGTGTCTCTTTTCGTCTTCTCATGCTCTTTTCGTGTCTCTAGTTTCATTGTAGGTTCATTTTGGGTAAATTTCGAATCTGGAACGGCCCGTACTGCAAGGAGAACGGCCTGTGCTACAAGGAGAACGACCCGTTCTGAAAGGAGAACGACCTGTTTTGCAATCAGAACAGTCTGTTCTGGATTGGTTTTAACTCACGCCAAACTATGCTAGAACGGCCTGTTCCAAACTACAATTTTAAGCCTTTTTAACAACTTGGAACAGGCCGTTCCTGTTTAATTTTTACAAAGCCAAGACTTTTAAGATCGGTTATAAAACAACATATCATAAAAGTTAACTTTTAAAATCGATTATTTAACCGATTTTAAAAGTCTAACTTTTAAAATCGGTTACGGAACCACCTTTAAAAGTTGAAAATAACTGATTTTAAAAGCTTTTTTTCACTAGTGTACCAAGATTTGGGTGCAGGTTATCTTCTCTAAATATCGTGCCGATAATGTTACATCACTTCTGCAACTTTCGGGTTCCTATTTTTTGAGGTCCTTGCGAAAGGTATATGATAGTTTACAACCTGGATTTCAATTGCAGCTTGGCAATGGACATAGTAGTTTCGGGTTTACAAATTGGTTTTATGGCACATACCTTGCTCCTTCCGTTCCTTTTGTTCATCCACAGGATATTAATATTCGTGTGTGTGACGTTTGGGATGATGGACATTGGGCTCTTGAGAAACTATACTCGTGGGTGTCAGATGAGACCAAGGCACGCCTTCAGGCTCTTACACTTTGCCTCCATCCTAATGCAGAGGATATATTATTGTGTGGAGCAATTCTGTTAACGAAGCGTAGACTGCCAAAGTAGGTTACAGGTGGTTGTGTGATGCTAGAGTTGCAACAAGGGGTACTTGGCAATGGATTTGGAGATTACCTGTGTCGGAATCCATTCGCTTCTTTGTTTGGCAGGTCGGACAGCAGGCCTTACCGAAGCGTATAGCTGGCTGGTTAATCATCATGTGGGGCAAGACACAACGTGTCCGCGATGTGGTGACGCAAATGAAGACATGCAACATATACTCTTCAAGTGTGGTGGTGTTGATCGGGTTTGGCAGATCTTTGGCTTGACAGAGGTGATCCGATGGAATTATAATGTGTCTTGGCTGGATTGGATGCTTCGATGTTTCAAAAAATTTCACATTTTACCAGCAATCATCATGTGGGGCAAGACACAACATGCCGCGATGTGGTGACGCAAATGAAGACATGCAACATATACTCTTCAAGTGTGGTGGTGTTGATCGGGATTGGCAAATCTTTGGCTTGATAGAGGTGATCCGATGGAATTATAGTGTGTCTTGGCTGGATTGGATGCTTCGATGTTTCAAAAAATTTCACATTTTACCAGCAATCATTTGTTGGTAGCTCTAGAAAGACTGCAATAGTCATGCGTTTAACGGGCTCGTTGGGAAGGCGTGGAGTCAAATTCGACAGATTCGTGACTCGTATACAATCATGCAAACTAGCTAATTTGCACCTTGTACGGAGGCGACACCAACCTACAAAGTCCTCGAGTGGGTTTCATGTGTGCTAGAAAAGGGTCCTCAAGTGAGTGTTCATGTTGACGGAAGCTCTCTTGGGAATCCAGGACCTGCAGGTTTTGGAGGTTTAGTTCGGAATTCTAATGGTAATATTGGTTGTGGGGATTTAAGGGAGATATTGGAATGACTAATAGCCTTAAAGCTGAATTGTTAGCTATTTTACATGGTCTTCAATTATGTTGGAATAGAAGGTACCTATCTGTTCTCTTGGTTTCAGATTCAAAAATGGCTTTGGAGTTAGTCAAGCAACCAATTCAATATACTCACAGGTATGCGGGGGTCCTTTGTCATATTAAAGAATTAATGGCCAAACCATGGACTCTTAGTTTGATCCATTCTTGGAGGGAAGGAAATATGTGTGCAAACATGCTTGCTAAAATTGGGCCTAATTCTGGAATTTCGCTTTTGGAACTCGAAGATCCTTCGACTACGTTAGAAGCTCAGCTCTTTGTTGATGCCATGGGTCTCCTTGTGTTACGGGAGTAGTGTATTTTCCCTTTGTCTTTTTTTTTTCTCTTGTTGACATTTCAGTAAAAAAAAAAAAAAAAAAAAAAAATGCTTACCCGGGGAAGCCCTTACCCGTGGAAGCCCTCAAACCATAGATAGACCTGTCAGTTGTTTAGAAATTATACTAAATCTTGAAGTTGTTGACAGAAACTATCCAACACATGATGACCCTAAATTGTCGCTTGGCAAAAAGTTCCTCAGTTTGGCATGGGTTTCTCTCACTTCCAAACAGGGACGACAAATATACCTGTACCCGCAAGTAATACTGAAATTTGTCCAGACTTTGACAGGAAATATCTGGTTTGACCGGGTATAAGTACGAGTACTGGTAAAACCCGATATATTAAATCAGGTACGGGTACGGGTATGTACATACCCGCCCCGTACCCATACTCGTACTCGTCCCTGTTCTCATTTTTAATTTAATATCCACTTTCAATTTAATTATATTAAAGAATTTTAATATTTTTTATGTGTGATTATTTATTATAATATGAGATAAAAAAAATAACTTAATTATAATTATAATATAATAAAAAAATAATTTAAAAATATCATATATTTTTTACAAAAAAAATAAAAATAAAAAAAAAATTGATGGGTACGAGTACGCCAATACCCGACAGGGATGGGTTTGACTCGCGGGATGGGTTTGACTCGCGAAAACAAAAATGGGTATCATGAAACCCGTACCCGACCTGCCCCATTGCCATCCCTACTTCTATGCCAACCTCATTCTCATCATCCATCATAGTTTTCACAACTTTGCATACACTTTGTTTTATGAACAACCCATCTTTTTCTCCTTTCTCCACATCAACTCCAATCTTCTTTTTCCTACTCATCACTCTTGCATTAATGATATGATCAATTTCAAGTTGTGGCAACAACACCAACTGACATGTATTCACAAGCGCCTCAATCATAGAAGCAGCTCCACGTGTTATATATGAAGCACCCAATAGAAGGGTGTTCCAAAATTGTTTACACCCAACCTCTATAAGCAATACCTCTTCCTTGAACCCTCCCTTTAGGCAGAGCTTCTTCAATAAAGTCAAAAACCATTAGGGGGCTTAAGTGTTGCAAGAAACAAAAAAGCCTATTAGTTTAAGACCAAGCAATAAACTCTTCAAATTGATTTTGAAGATAACGGGATTTCACTTCCATATGCATGCACAAAAAATAATAGAACTGAGGTTGAATCCCTCGAGCCATGCAAACCATTTTTCCTCCAAAGTAGAGTTTGGTGGCTTAGGTAAAAGAGGCCCTGAAAGTAGAAAAGGCTTCCCATTATAAATTGTTGCCCATCTCCATGATTAATAATAAGCCACGATTCATCTTCTTAACTAAAACTTGTATAATTATAAATATTAATAATTTGGGACATGTGAAAGTACTGTTCTTAAAAACTTATTCATGTGATGTACATGTTCATCGTGATATAACAGGTTTTTCACAATGATAATTGGAATAAAAGAATTAACAAATTTTGAAGAGAGAATAATTATGAAATTCATATAATAATAAAGAAAAGATGCATGGGAAAGCTATCTCAAAATCTTCTATATATTATATTTATAATGAAAAAAAAAACTCTTTCTCAAAATAATGTCTAGCAATAATTCTCCTCATCTTTTTATCACGTCTAATATTTTTTCTTAAGTTAACTTTGACTTCCACTCATACATTTTTTGTTTGAACAGTTAAGAAAATTTTCATTAAAAAGATACTAATGGTAAAAAAAAGAAAAGGAAAAAGTGTACATATAAAACTAAACATATCATTCTCAAGAAGAGAATAAAAAGAAAAAAAGAAAAATACACACTTCTACTACTATCCTATATGAGAAACTCCCCCCTCACCCACCCATTCTCTCTAATTTCAGTATCTCACCCTTCCTTACAAGATTGCTAACTGACCTAACCAGTTGAGACCCACCTTACCACACATACATTAAAAAAAAAAAAAATTAATTCTCCTAACAGACTTCGAAACAACACAGAAATATAAAAGCCTTTTAAACCAGTCATCATTGTTAGTTTTCCAACAATATATACAACACTGAAAAATTGAAAGAAGACATACAGACACTTAATTAGTTATTTCACTTGTCTTTAATATCAATTTGCAAGACTTCCCGACAACCTTCAATATTTTACCCGAATAAAAAACTAAAGGAATGCCATACCTTTACCTAGTTGTGTATTGACCAATTGCACATATCCAATTCGTGGCAAGACGATTGACCCAACTCAGAATATAGGACTTCTGATGAGTCTAATGCAAGCATTGTTGCAAATTAAAATGGTTGCAATTCTTCGTTATGAGATTGTAAACATTCCCTTTGTACTCAATAACGAGATTTTTCATCACAGCACTAACCTTACCAGGACCTATATCAATTTTTTCGATCAAAATCATTTTTCTGAACGTGAAACCTTCGCACTTCTTAGGTTCTCCTTCGAGGAAAATTTGTGAGCTTCGAACTCGAACTCAACACTGTGAACTTCAACGCCGGAATGATACACTCTAAGGTGGAACCAGTAAGCGTAACCGTTCATGGGTGTTAGATCGTAGACATTGAGGTACACCAGCACGGTTCCTAAAGCAACGCTATTTTTGGAGCTCTTCCTGCACAACATTCTACTAGGTTTAGAGAAGGGATAGGCAAGGACGAAAAATACATCGTTTCCTTTGCCGAAAGTTGATCAAAGAATGGTGTAACCGTCATTGGAGTCAGAGCCCCACCACTTAGAGGAGTAGAGCCAGTCACCTTCATCCTCCGTGCGCCACCACACCACCATCGAGAAATAAAGGAGGTAGCCGAAAACAGTGCTTCCGCGTGGTCTGGTCCATCAACGTTTTCATGTCCTTGATGTCGCCGAACAGAATGAACGTCGCGTGAAGGATCGTTAACCTCCTCCGCTAATCATCCCACATACATCGTCTTCTTCTGCATGCCTTGCATTATCACCATTGCTAGGGTTTCGAGGTCGTGGACGAAGAGATCGCAGTGGTGGCCAAGTTTGAGGATCTGGGTGTGTAGGCTTTGGGCATGGGTGACGTGGTGAGTGTGGGAGAGTGAGTTGAAGAAGGGTTAGGATTTGGAAAAGGAAACTATGTACCTAAAACATAAAAATTGTTGATTTCCATGGACAATAAATGGTTGTCCATCTTCATCATTAATCAAGAACCATTATTCACCTTCTTAATTGAAACTTTTATAATCATAAATATTAATAATTTAACACGTGTGATAATATTATTCTTAAATATTTATCTATATGATATGTAAGTCTCCTAGGTTATAATATATTCTTCCTAATGATAATTAGAGTAATAGAATCAACAAATTTTTAAATGAGAATAATTCGTGAAACTCATATAATGATAAAGATGAGATGTGTAGAAGAGTTATTTCAAAACAGTCTGTATATTATATTTATAATAAAAAAAAATCTTTCTTAAAAATGTCTTTCATCAAATTATAAAAGGTTAAAATTCTAATTTGGTCCCTTATAATATTTTTTTTGTTTCAATTTAGTCTCACTTTAATTTTTTGTTTTAATTTAGTCTCTAATAATTTAAATTAGTGCAATGTCGAGCTTTCGTCCAAATTATTTAAACGAAGTTAACTGTTGGCCACGTGGATGCCAGGTGGATGAAACGTAGATGCATAGGTGAATGTCAAATCTCTTTAATGCACGTGGAACCAGAACGGAACGGCCCATTCTGGTTGCACATGTTGTGTGTTAATTTTGCATCTAGAACGGGTCGTTCCAGATGCAAAATTAACACACCACGAGTGCAGCAGAACGGGTCATTCTGAAACTAGAACGGGCCGTTCTGGATTCAAAAACGGACCGTTCTTGATTCAAAACGGGTCGTTCCAGAACGCCAATCACATACGTCCATTCAACAAAAATGTCGCAATGTGGTTCAAAAATTGAAAATAAAAGTTCATAATATAACATAAATTCAAAGACAGAAATATGGTTCAAAGACTGAAAAAAAAATTCATAACATAACATATATTAAGAAAGTTCAAAGAAATTACTGAAAAGGGAAATCATCTAGATAACGCTGAAGGTGTCAATAATACATCTTATCCACCATATAACACTGAATGGCTGATAGGATATCAGCATTATTTACCTGTACATGTGGTTGTGTGATGAAATGTTAGTCTTGTGTGTCCTCTTCCTCTATTTCAGGTTGAACCTCCTCAAGATGCAAAATTAACACACCAAGAGTGCAATCAGAACGGGCCGTTCTGGTTTCAGAATGGGCCGTTCTGGTTCCAGATACATTAAAGAAATTTGACATCTACTTATGCATCTACGTGGCATCCACGTGACCAACAGTTAACTCCGTTTAAATAATTTGGACGAAAGTTCGACATTGCACTAATTTCCATTATTAGGGACCAAAGTAAAACAAAAAATTAAAGTAGAACTAAATTGAAACAAAAAAATATATTATAAAAGACCAAATTAAGATTTTAATCAATAATAAAATAACGTGTAATCAACCCTTAAAAGATCAAATCAAAATATAAGATAAGGCTTAGTGTAACTCTCAAGTGTAAAATTTTAAGAGAATTTTTATTTTTATTTACATATCATTTTTAAATTTTAAAATAGCACATATATTATAGTTTCACTTTTCACAATTTTTAACTAATTCAAACATTTATGGTAAAATTAAAATTAAAAAAAATAATGTATATTTATTATAGAGTGAAATTAAAGAAAAAGGTAAATAAAAAACTTCAAAATAAGTTTTTTATTGAGATCTAGAACTTTTAAATATTTTTTGGTTAGTACATAAAATTTTAAAAGATAGATTAAACAAAAAGCAAAAATAGTAATGTATAACGTTTATTATAAAATAATTGAGAGTATTTTAACAATAAAAAATAATTTACAATAATTATTTTAAAAAAATTTAATCTAATAAAATGAAAAAACTAATAAAAATGTAAAAATATATAAAAAGGCATGATTAAGTACTTATGAGTAAAATATTACTTATAAAATATATATAAAGTAAAGAAACAACATTAACTTTGTTCATATATATTACTTATTTACTTTCAAAATCTCATCTACTTTAATTTAAAATCCAGATGGCGTTTCAATTACATGGTATATCTAGAGGAATTTTATATTATAGGCATTACCTTCAATCTCACTACTTTCAACAGGTAAACATGTGTCAACATTAGGAAGGAATAATAATAATAACGACGATACCTATGATGTAAGTTTGACAAATGGTGTAGCTACACATGCCACGTAGCGGTGCCATGCACTGGTTAACTACGCTCTTATACATCATTCAAAGACAAAACAACAGTAAAAAAACCTCAAGCAGCCATGGATACCGCAAGTGCAGCACCTTTGCACATAGCAATATTTCCATGGTTTGCTATGGGCCACCTAACCCCAACACTTCACCTATCCAACAAGTTAGCACAGAGAGGCCACAGAATCTCCTTCATACTTCCAAAACGAACACAAACCAAACTACAACACCTCAATCTTCACCCACACCTCATCACCTTTGTCCCCATCACAGTTCCTCGAGTTGATGGTCTTCCCCATGATGCTGAAACCACTTCAGACTTGCCCTTATCTTTGTTCCCACTTCTTGCCACTGCTTTGGACCGTACAGAGAAGGACATCGAGCTTCTCCTAAGGGATCTGAAGCCACAAATTGTTTTCTTCGATTTCCAACATTGGCTACCGAAGCTGACACGAAGCCTAGGCATCAAGAGTGTCTTGTACTCTATAGGTCTTCCATTATCAACAGCGTACCTCAGAAGCGGACGAAGACAGAGCCAAGGAAGAGAAATAACTGAAGTTGATCTAATGGAACCGCCTCAGGGGTTCCCTGATGCATGCCTCAAGTTTCATGCACATGAACTTCGATTCCTCGCTTCCACAAGGAAAGTCAAGTTTGGAAGTGGTGTTCTTCTGTACGATCGGTTAGAGATTGGTACAAGCATGGCAGATGCAATTGGATTCAAAGGTTGCAAGGAAATTGACGGGCCTTATGCGGAGTATCTTGAAAAAGTGTTTGGGAAGCCTGTTCTTCTTTCGGGTCCTCTTCTACCTGAGCCACCAAACTCTACTTTGGAGGAAAAATGGGTTGCATGGCTTGGGGGATTCAACCCTAGTGCTGTTATTTTCTGTGCTTATGGAAGTGAAAACCCGTTACGGCAAAATCAGTTTCAAGAGTTGTTGCTTGGTCTTGAACTAACAGGATTTCCGTTTCTTGCAGCACTTAAGCCCCCTAATGGATTTGACTCTATTGAAGAAGCTTTTCCAGAAGGGTTCAGAGAAAGGGTTGAGGGAAGAGGGATTGTGCATGGAGGTTGGGTTCAACAGCAACTTATCTTGGGACACCCTTCTGTTGGGTGTTTCATAACACATTGTGGAGCCGCTTCTATGACTGAGGCGCTTGTGAATACGTGTCAGTTGGTGCTGCTGCCACAACTTGGAGCTGATCATATCATTAATGCAAGAGTGATGAGTAGGAAATTGAAGTTTGGAGTAGAAGTGGAGAAAGGGGAAGAAGATGGCTTGTTCACAAAAGAAAGTGTTTGCAAAGCTGTGAAAACTGTGATGGATGATGAGAATGAGGTTGGAAGAGAAGTGAGAGAAAACCATGCCAAACTGAGGAACTTTTTACTGAGCGATAACTTGGAGTCATCATGTGTTGATATTTTCTGTCAACAACTTCAAGATTTAGTATAAATTCAAAAAGATCAAGATGTTTATCTCTTGTTTGCAAATAAATATGTTCAATAAATGTTTTGTTATTATTAAAAATTTTACACATTCTAAAATCACACAATATATATTATTCAAAAGTACTTAAATATATATAATTAAATGATATATATAAATTAAAAAATATAAATATAAATTATAATAACATATATAATATATTATTAAATCTTATTCAAAATCAATATTAAAATTATACATAATTATAGGTTAATCATATATATCTAGCTAATTACACATTCAAAATGTAACATTTTTTAAAGTTTCCGTGGAAATCACTTTTCTACTCTAATAATAACGAATAATACGTTGAACAAATTTTTAAAATTGATATCAGTGGGACAATAAAAACCCTCGCATAGCCGTGGCCAGGAACTAGAGAGAGAATTTTTGTTGGCACTTGAGGGAGAGAGGAAGAGAATTACACTCTGTCCTACAACTTCGATTGTCGCAAAATTCATTCACCAGGTTGATTCATGAAAGGAAAATACTGCATGTAATGAAAGAAGACGTCGAAATTTCTTTTGAATTATTAAAAAATTAGATAAATAATAAAATATTAAATTAAATAATTATTTTATAATAAATTTATTAAAAAATAATAATATTTTAATAATTCGAACGTTGATTCGACTTGTATAATAGTGTTCTTCATGTAACCGTGTACATCAGTGGCCTTTTACAGGAAAATATTAAGCAATAAAGTAGTATTAAAAAGTTTGCTTCATGGTTAAGAAAAAAAATGGTGGGCTGTGGCAATAAACTTGAGCTGATTTTTTTTGTATAGTTGTTGCAGCTAACTGGCCTAAAAACTCCACGGTGCAAGTGCAACACAAGCGATGAACTTTTGCAGCATTGATCTAATTTTATTGACAATGTGTCCCTTGAATCAAGTATGTCCCGTCATTTCGAGTATTTTCTTCGGGAGCTGTGACATTGAGTTACCTATTTTTTTCAAGCACAAAATTAAGGTTTATTACTTTTTATCTCTATTCTTATCGTGTCATATCACTTAGAATATATAGAGAGAAATAGGGAAAAGAAAGATTCATTTATTTTAAAAATAAATTTATTTGTATTTATTTTATTTAATAAATTTTATTTTATATCAAATTTTAATAATTTAATTATTGATCATTAAAATTTAATGTAAAATATAAGTTATTAAGTAAAGTAAATAAATCTTTTTCATGTATATTTCTTGTGATTATTTTATAACTAACATATTTAAAAATTAAAATTAAAATTTTTAGAAAGTTTGATAAATTAAAAAATGTGATATTTAAAATCTTGCAAAGATGGTTGATAAATTTAAATTTGACATATTTAAAATTATTTTAATGATCACTTTTATAAATTATATATTTAAAATTTAACTATCTCATAATTTGTCGATAATTACGCATTTTATATTTACATATCAAATTAACCATATATTTTATGAAAATTCAAAAGATTAACTTTATCATGCATTTTTTCTGAGAAAAACGTAAAAGAAAAAAATATATTTACACAAAATTTAGACTTTAAATTTTAGTGACTTAATTTTTTTATAATAAAATTATTTTATGATGGAAACAATTTATTTCTAGTAATTGTTTTGTAATTAATATATTTAAAATTTATATTTTAAAAAATTAATAAATAAAAAAGTATTTAAAATCTTATAAAGATTATCGATAAATTTAAATTTGACATGTGTAGAATTATCTTTTTGATGAAAATGATTTACGAATATCCTAATTATTCTAATGATTACTTTTATAACTTTTATATTTAAAATTTAACTATATAGTATATAGTCCACGATCACTCACTTATAGTTAACATATGTAGTGGATTTAGATTCTATACATTAAATAATAATATAAAAAAAAAGTAATTACACTTGTCAACTAATAATATATATATATATATATATATATATATTAAAGTATTTATCATAAATAATAATAAACATGTAATTAGAAAACAATAAAAAGAACATAATATTAAATTCTTATAAGTAAGAGTATCATATTATTATATATTCTTTTCATAAATTCTCGGCGCCATTAAGATTATTTAATATGATCAAAAAGGGTGTATAAATTAAAATCTTACATCGAATCATTAAAAAAAAAAAATCTCACATTGATATTGTAAAATATAAAATTATTAAATACATTCTTAATAATATCTTAAAGATATATTTTTAATTTGATGTATATATAAAGATATATTTTAACTGAAATATATAAAGATATATTAAGAGTATATAAATAAAATGAATGAATAATTGAAAGGCTTATAAGGACAAAACACAGAAGTTAGACAACACATCAAGATCAGGACCATACAATGTTGTCGTTACTACCGAGGAAAACGCCAAAACGGGATGAGTAGAAGAAGAAGGATCAAGGAATCATAGAAACTACAAGAACAACAATCTCACTTCTTTTTTTATTTTTTCCTCCTTTCACGTGTATTGATTATAATATATAAGAAACAATTTTATTTTAATTGAATTAAATATTATGATTGATAAATTACTTTATTCAAATATTAAAAATAATTCTATATTCAATACTTAAATTTAAGACTATTAATTAGTAAGATAATCATTTGCATTCTCATAGTTACACTATTCTATCAATATTTTATGCATAACATGTTCATTTAAATAATCCACTTCTATATATTAAATATAAATAATTTTATATGAGAGTGTTTTTTTTTTGAAACTTTTCTCTAAAAATATTTGTAATAATTATTTATAAATTAAATATTAATATTTTTAAAAATATCAATAAATAAAAATAAGTTTTCTTATATATGATACAAATTATTTATCATAAACTAAAAAAATAATTTATTTATCTAAAAATATTTATGTATACAATTTTAAATATAATTTATATATGCAAACATAATTTATTATAAATTTTAATTATATATAATAAACATGCATTTATATTACACATACTAAAATATTATATAT